AGGGCAGAAGCTGACTGAGAAGGAAGGACTTCAGAAAGACTTTCCCACGGGTGCACAGCTCCCCGCCACGCGCAGAGGGATGCGAGTCGCTGGACTTCACAAGCGCCGTAGACGAGGTGGGAAGACAGGTTACCTGGAGTCGCGCGTGGCGGCACGAGATGACACCAGCTTCAAACAATTAGACGGCTCCATGTTTGGAAAGGCCCCACTGAGCACACACACAATCCCCCCCTCAAAGAACCTGTACAGCCACGGGACTGCCCAGAAGCCAGGGCTCCGGGCCAGACGCACGGGCTGGGGGCGCAGACGCCCGAACTCAGGCTGCAGTGCAAGGGCTCAGGGACCAGGAGCAGGCAGGAGCCAGTGTGGCAGAGAACCTGTCCAGTGAGCCACTAGTCCTCACCCTGGGGAACCACCGGAGCCCCCAGCGGCCACCTCCAGCCCCTCCCTCTAGCCCCTCCAGCCTCTCTCCTTTCCCCAGTCTCCGTCACTGCCCATTTCCATACCTGATGACATCATCTTAGATCACCTTTGCAACCTTTCCAGGTTTACGCCCTTCTCTTCTAGACAAAGGAAAAGGACGGCCAGAAGAGGAAACACGAGCAACAAAAAGCGATTCCTACCATCCTGTCCTGCACTCGACCTCTGTGAAACAGCAGGCCCCTTTCAAATAAAAGAAGGGGCCTGCACGGTGGCACAGTGTGGGTTCAAGTCCTGTTGAGCCACTTCTGATCCAGCTCCCTGACGCACCTGGGAAAGCAACAGAAGATGCCTCTGCCACCCACATGGGAGACCCGGACGGAGTTCTAAGTTCCAGGCTCCTGGCTTCAGACTGACTTGGCCCAACTGTGGCCGCTGTGGCCATTTGGAGAGAAATGGATCCCTTTCCTCACTCTGTGTAACTCTGCCTTTCAAATAAATAAATCTTCACCAGATATATCAGCAACATAAACACACACACACACACACACACACACACACGCTCACAGATACACATTCAGCCCAACAGTGTTTGAGATTCAACAGGCATCAAAGTAAAAACAATTTTGTCAAAGAGACGCTCCAAAGCCCAAAACATCTAGGACAGCTCTCATCAAAAATCAAACTGTGTTTACCTACACCAGTGGGGTGTCTCTGTCAACAAAACTAGTTCCAAATATTTCATTTGCCCAAGGCTGAATTTCTCCAGGGCTTCATCTAACTAGCGAGCTTTCGTGAAGAAAGTTAAGAGATTCTTAAAAACTCTTCTTGACCTGAACAATAAAGAATTTTAAAATTTTGAAGGAGTGAATCCCACTGATTAGAGCTGACTCTTCTGAAGGATTTGGGAGGTCAGAGAAGCTATGAAAAATGCCGTTAGAGGCTGACAACAACAACAACAGAAGAAACACACAGCTTGTCTATCACCCACTGAAGGGGTCTGAGCAACTGAGAACACGGAAAAGTCCAACAGAAATTCATTTCTTCAAAAGCAGATACCGAAAGCAGGAGTTAGAGAGAGGGGCCAGGACTGTCAGCTGCTGCCTACAGAGCTTGCACCCCACATGGGGCACTGATCCGAGTCCCAGCTGCTCCACTTCTGATCCAGCTCCCTGGTAACATGCCTGGGAAAGCAGTGGAAGGTGGCCCAAGTGCTTGGGCCCCTGACCTCTTGTGGGAGACCTGGGAGAAGCTCCTGGCTCTTAGCAGGCCCAGTTCTGGTGGTTGCAGCCATCTGGGGAGTGAACCAACACATGGCAGATCTCTGGCTCTCCCCAACTCTGCCTTTCAAATCAATGGACAAATCTTTTTTAAAAATTAGAAAGAGAGGATGCCAACGAAGAGGGATCACAGGCAGTGACGGCCTGGTAGCTTGCACACGGCATACCAAGGTGTGAGAGTGCCTCTCCAGCACACAGCAGGCACTCACACGGTCCAGCATCAAAAGCACGGGCCTGCAAGGGGGTTCCAACGCTGACCAATGGAGAGCTCAGCCCCTGGATTTCCTGGCCTGACCTACAGATGTCCCTCATGTGCCGGCAACATGAATTCCTTAGAAATCCATGGGTTTGCTCAAATGCCCGCTGACAGCACTCTGTGCCCTTGGACATCTGCCCACGTACAGCACACTGTGTGGGTGTGGTCACTCGCATTGTGACAGTCATCCACTCGTGGCCAGCCAATGCTACAACTCTCATTTAACACAACTCACCTAAAGATTATCTGAGGGCTGGGGAACAAGGCCAGATATCACAGCCAGTACCTTGTCTTTCAGACGGTCTTTGCTGCTTCCTCTCCTTCTTCCTGTTCATCCACCCATGCATACAGACATGACTTTAGTACAGGTGACACGAATTCCTTCTTTGCAATTAAAAAAAAATACCCATTTAAGAGGCAGAAAGACACAGAGAGCACTCCTATGCACCCACTGGTTCACTTCTCAAATGCCCGCAGCAGCTGTGACTGGGCTGGGAGCCAGGAACTCAATCCAGGTCTCCTGTGTGGGTAGTGGGAATCCAAATACTTGAGCCATCGCTGCTGCCTCGCAGGGCATGTGTTAACAGAAAGCTGGGGCTCACACGCAGGCACTCTGCTATGAGACGCAGGCATCTTAACGCTCACCCACACTACAACATCAAATACTCATCTCAACATGATTTTATAATGAAATAAAGCAGAAAAATACAAAATAAATCAAAGTGGAAATGGATGTCAACATTTTTAAGTATGCATGGGTATAAACATATACAGAAAAAAGGTGGCGCCGCGGCTCACTATGCTAATCATCTGCCTGCGGCACTGGTACCCTGGGTTCTAGTCCCAGTTGGGGCGCCGGGTTCTAGTCCCAGCTGCTCCTCTTCCAGTCCAGCTCTCTGCTGTGGCCCGGGAAGGCAGTGGAGGATGGCCCAAGTGCTTGGGCCCTGCACCTGCACGGGAGACCAGGAGGGGGCATCTGGCTCCTGGCTTCAAATCGGCGCAGCGCGCCAGCCGTAGCAGCCATATGGGGGGAGACCCAAGGTAAGGAAGACCGTTCTGTCTGTCTCTCTCACTGATTGCCTGTCCAAAAAAAAAAAAAATATATATATACAGAAAAAGATTAGAATGGCATAAGCCAGTGTGTTCACCATGCTATTAACAGAGTACAGAGTTTTGTTTTCTGTTTTATGTCATAGGCTTTCCCCCAAAGCTTCTGCAGCTCTATAACTAGAGAAACTTACATTACAGCTTTAAAGTCTAGTCTCATGCCAGTGAGAAACGTGGGGCAGGGAAAACAGGAAGACGAAGATGAAGCAGGGGCAGAATCCCCAGCGGCCCCAACGGAGGCTCCAGAGGAGAGCCAGGGCGCGTTCCCGGCTTCAGACCCACACTCATCACGTGGATCCAGCCACGGTGTCTCCAGCCAGCGAAACAAGGGCTTTCCTTGCATGTGGATTTCCACAGGAACTGAATCCTGACGGGGGCAGGAGCCCAAGAACAGCACAAAGGGAGGTGTGGGGAGGACGCTTTGTAAATGAACAGGTTAGGACAGTGGCAAATCCTCCACTCCCATCATTCCCGTCTCGGTGACTTCCCAGCTCCGTGAACTCAGAGTTCAGAGAAGTAACACGCAGACATGGGTTTGACCTGGTGTTGCACTGGGAAAACGTGCACCACACTTTTGTTTACCATCACTTAAACACTGGAGCCAAAGCTGAAATGCTGCTTGTAACATGCCGCTGCGATTCATGACAGAAGCCAAGGGCAGGCATCATGGCTCAGTGGGTTACGACACTGCCTACGACACCGGATTCCAGATAAGAGCAGGGGTTCAAGTCCCAGCTGCTCCGCTTCTCATCCAGCTCCTTGTTAATGCACTCGGGAAAAGAGCAGAAGATGGTCCAAGTACTTGGGCCCCTACACCCACATGGAAGACCTGAATGGAGTTCCTGGCTCCTGGCTGCTGGCTTTCACCTGGCCCAGCCCTAACCACTGTGGCCATCTGAGAAGTGAACCAGAGAATGGGAGATCTCTTTATCTTTGTCTCTAACTCTGCCTTTCAAAAAAATAATTTTTTTAATAATGAAACAGCTGCTGCAAAGCTCATTTTACGCGTTCTGTTTGGGGTGCTTGTGTCTGCAGGCACTGGGAAAGGCAAGCCCGTCAGAGGTGCAACCACTGAACTCACACCTCAGCTGGGTTCCCAGCCCTCCCCAGTGTGGCCCCAGTGCCCCTGAAGGGCTCACGGGTGAGGGTCAGAGCCAGATGAGCAGTCACAATGGCACATATCAGGGCCAGTCCCCTTTCACCCCAGCATCGACCCAGACTCAATGCCCCGGAAGGGGGCCCGAGTCAGACGGGCTCAAGGTGTGGAAGGCAGCACCAAGGCACTGCAGACAGGCCCACCCAGCCATCTCCACCCCACCCCCCCACAGCCTGGGTGCACCAAGGCACTGCGGACAGGCCCCCCACCCTGGCCATCTCCCCCTACACCACAGCCTGGGCTGCACCAGGGTACTGCAGACAGGCCCCCTGGCCATCTCTCCCCCACATCACAGCCTGGGCTGCACCAGGGCACTGCAGACAGGCCCACCCAGCCATCCCCCCCGCCCCGCCCCACACCTCCCAGTCTGGGCAGTGGGTGAGAGGCAAGGAGAAAAGCTGGCAGGAATGAAGTCCAATTTAATCTCAGACTCCAGGCTCAGAAGAATCCAGTTTGCTTTCACCAGCAAAATAAATCTGAACGTGGCAGGAAATACATTTTAAGTCATATTCATGGTCCTTTCCGATTTTCAATATTTATGTTTTGAGTAATATTCAGGCCTCACAGATGTGGATGGGAAAGAAATATTTTGGGTTTGGGGCATGCCGTAACTCATAACTGAGGAATGTTAGGCTTTCTATTTTTATATGGAATCAGCCAAAATAATTTCTGGAACTCAAATAGCTCCGGCGGTCAGTGACGTCAGAGGAGAGACTGGCCCCACCCCTGCCTGCAGAAATGGAGGGGTGTGAGGAGACTCCTTTCTGTCTATTCCTCCAACCCAGTCTGTCCCCAGGAAGCTGTGCTTCTTCTTGAAAGGAGCTGTCAAAGGTGACAGGGCACAGCCAGTGGACCCCACGGGAAGGTGACAAGGCAGAGTGGACCCCATGAAGGTGACAGGGCACAACGAGTGGACCCCACGGGAAGGTGACAAGGCAGAGTGGACCCCATGAAGGTGACAGGGCACAACGAGTGGACCCCACGGGGAGGTGACAGGGCACAACGAGTGGACCCCACAGGGAGGTGACAGGGCAGAGCGAGTGGACCCCACGGGGAGGTGACAGGGCAGAGCGAGTGGACCCTACGGGGAGGTGACAGGGCAGAGCGAGTGGACCCCACGGGGAGGTGACAGGGCAGAGCGAGTGGACCCCACGGGGAGGTGACAGGGCAGAGCGAGTGGACCCCACGGGGAGGTGACAGGGCAGAGCGAGTGGACCCCATGGAAGAACGCGCACCCGACAGCTCCCCTCTGGCAGCTCGGAGAGCCTCGCCCACTCGCTTGCTCATCGCCAGGTCCACGCGCGTACATGAGACGCAACTGTAAAAACGCGACTGAACCATGAAGTGCAACAACTGTCCTCAGTTACGGGCCTGGGTGATTCCTGCACATGGACTGATTACTCGGTCCTTGCCCCTAAAAGACTTCTCCTCAGCCTCCTGTCCACTGCAACTCTTACAGCTGATCTGGTCCCCAGAGGTACAGTATCGTTAGAGGTACAGACACGGAGATTAAAAGCCAAACAGAGGCGCAAACTGTGCCTTAGGCAAATTAATAATAAAGTGGAACCATTATGTAAAAAATCATTATTTGGCTGACAGTGTCTCACCATGCATTATAAAGACATCTGGGAAAACAGAGGCAGGATTCTGCACTGGATGGCAGCGCTCACCTTCGGCTGCAAAGCAGGGATGTGCAGAATAAAGACAGAGAGGCCGGACTGCTGGCACCAGCCCCTCGGCAGGAACGGGAAAAGCAGGGGCAGGTGTGAGAACTCGCAGTAGGACACTCACATCCCTTATTAAGTGCCTGGGTTCTCCTGGCTCTCGTTCTCGATTCCAGCTTCCTCCTCATGTGTACCCTGGGAGGCAGCTGGCGATGGCTTAGCCACACAGGTCTCTCTGCAACCCCCAGGAGAGACCTGATAAAGTTTATGGCTCCTGGCTTGCACCCAGCCCAACAAGGCTGGCAGCCGGGGAGTGAACAGGAATTCTTTCTCTCTCTGTGCCACATAAATCAATTTTTAAGATTTATCCATTAGGCCGGTGCCACGGCTCAATAGGCTAATCCTCCGCCTTGCAGCACTGGCACACCGGGTTCTAGTCCTGGTCAGGGCGCCGCATTCTGTCCCGGTTGCCCCTCTTCCAGGCCAGCTCTCTGCTGTGGCCAGGGAGTGCAGTGGAGGATGGCCCAAGTGCTTGGGCCCTGCATCCCATGGGAGACCAGGAGAAGCACCTGGCTCCTGCCTTTGAATCAGTGTGGTGCACTGGCCACAGCGCGCCAGCCGCGGCGGCCATTGGAGGGTGAACCAACGGCAAAGGAAGACCTTTCTCTCTGTCTCTCTCACTGTCCACTCTGCCTGTCAAAAAAAATTTTAAAAAAAGCATAAAAGATTTATCCATTAACTTGAAAGACAGCTAAAGAGTCGAGAGAGGGAGAGAGAGACAAAGAGAGGGATCCTCCATTTGGTAGTTCACTCCCCAAATGGCCACAACAGCTGGGAGCCCAAAACTTCGTCCAGGTCTCCCATGTAGGTACAGGAGCCCAAGCACTTGGGCCACCTTCTGCTGCTTTCTCAGGTGAATTAGCAGGGAGCTGGATCATAAGCAGCGCAGCCAGACTCAAACTAGCACTCAATATGGAATGCCGGCATCAGAGGCAGTGGCTTAATTATCTGTGCCACAGCACCAGTCCCAAAATAGTCAACATTTAAAAAGTATGTTTTTAAAAAATGAGAAGTAGAATGCTGCTTTCTTCCACAAGTAAACTGCACGCCTGTGGATGAATCTACATGCATGTATTTAACTGGTGTTCACTCTTCTTTTAGGGACAGGAGTTTAAACCTCTGAGCAATTAAACGCAATGTTATGCTACGGAACCCGGCCCACCTTGACCTAATCACGATGAGCCAATCACTGAGCTAGAGGATCCTGGAACTGGTGAGGGTTAAACAGAACCCTACCAACACCAGTGCTGAGAATTTTTTCTAAGCAAAACTTGAGGAAGAACCAGCAGAAAGAGCCAGGCCGGACTTTCACCAGAAACTACATCTACGCATTTTCCTCATGTGTATAGTTTACACCCTGAAAAGCTGCAGAGACTCAGACCCAAAACACCTCTGATGCATCTGAAAGATGACTGGGAAGGGCCGGCCTCATGGCAAGTGGGTTTATCCACCACCTGCGATGCCAGCATCCCATATGGACGTGGGTTCGAGTCCTGGCTGCTCCACTTCTGATTCACCTCCCTGATAATACGCCTGGAAGGGCAGCAGATGATGGCCCACGTGCTTGGGCCCCTGCCATCCACATGGGAGACCTGGTTTTGGCCTGGCCCAGCCTAGCTGTTGTAGTCATTTGGGGAATGAGCCAGTGGGCAGAAGATCTGTTTCTCCCTTTCTCTCTGTAACTTTGGCTTCCAAATAAAATAAATCTTTAGAAAAGATGAATGGGAAAATATCCACATACCCTTTTCTTTTAAAGAAACCAGGCATGGGATGCTGTTTTTGGTTCCTTCATTCGTTAAGTGTACAGCATCCTGCCTCTGGGACTGTGGGAAGCACAGCGGACTTGGGGTCCAAGACAATGAGCCACTGTCTTAGATAGGGAAAATATTTAGCTTCATAACCTTGACCGAGGTACCAGGAACTCATGGAAACCCCAGCTTATTATTTTCTTTTTTGACAGGCAGAGTTAGACAGTGAGAAAGACACAGAGAAAGGTTTTCCTTTTTTCATTATTAACCCCCTAAATGGCTGCTACGGCCAGCGCACTGCGCCGATCCGAAGCCAGGAGCCAGGTGCTTCCTCCTGGTCTCCTATGCGGGTGCAGGGCCCAAGGACCTGGGCCATCCTCCACTGCACTCCCGGGCCACAGCACAGAGCTGGACTGGAAGAGGAGCAACCAGGACAGAATCTGGCACCTAAACCGGAACTAGAACCCGGGGTACTGGCACTGCAGGCAGAGGATTAGCCTAATGAGTCACAGCGCCAGCCAACCCCAGCTTATTAAAAGTAAAACACGGGGGCTTCTATGGTGGCCACTGAGAAATTACACAGGACCACAGAGAGCAGCTGGCTGTGCAGCCTGTGGACTCCAAGCATACAGTGGCCAGGGCCCTTTCCCATCCCAGGAACACCCATGAGAACAATTCTAGTCCCTTCTAAGAGTGGTGTTCAAGGAGGTGAGGCCACTGTGGCACAGCAGGTTAGGCCAATGGTCGGGTCACCTGGATCCCATTTCCGGTTCAAGTCCTGGCTACTCTGCTCCGACCCAGCATCCTGCCAACGTGCACCTTGGGAGACAGCAGTACTGGCTGTTATGGGTCCCTGCCAACCATGTAGAAGACATGGATGGAACTTTGGGCACCTGGCTTCAGACTGGTCAGGCCCTGGCTGTAACAGGCATTTGGGGAGTGAGGCAGAGGACAGAGGATCTCTGCCTGTTCTCTCTCTCTCACTGCCTTTCAAATCAATAAAAGTTTTTTAAAAAGCAGTTCTTTGGTGGCTTTTTAAACAGGTGTTTTCATTCACTGCATTAATCTTTGGGGGGCCACTCAGAATGACTCAACAATAGACAACAATCTTTCTGGAAGACACAGAATACAACAGAGGTGGAAAACGCCCCACAGTGCAGGCAGCGGAGCAGGAGGGAAACGGGGAAACAGGAGTCACGTGTGAGAGGGGCACAGCCCAGCGGGAAGCACCAGCCTCTGAGCTTGTCACAGCAGAGACTCCGAAGTTCAAAGAGTCCGATTTCCAGATGGGCATTCTTAAAAATCACAACAGCACACTCACAGACGAATGAGGCAGGAGTTTAAATGCTTCTGTGACTTGAAAAAGAACCACAAATTCAGAATTGCTGTTTACTTAGTCATCCGACATATTCTCCAACGTGAGCGATCTTAGCCAACCCATAAAATGCACTTTGATGCTCAAATAAAGATAAGAGTGTTTGTTTCTTTAAATCTTTCCGAACAGTGAGTCCATCCCACAAGCCTTAGTATTTGGATTGACAGGGACAATATGAAAAAGTCATCGCGTGCCAAATCTTTATATGAAAATAACAAAGAGCCCCTCTCTACCGAGGTGGAAGGGAATAATCGAAGTCTACCTCTCCCGTTCCTGCTTCATTCGTGTCCTCTCCTCTTCTGACGTAAAGGTTTCCTGCATTTTTATTCTACCCGTTTTCTCAATCTTGTCATCTTTTCGATGTTTGCCAAACCTGTTGATAACAAAAAATTCTAGCTTGTCAATAGATACAAAATGAGTTTCTTTCTTTCTTCTGAGATACAGACATGGCACTCAGTGAAATGTTTATCTTCCTTGAAGCAAGGGCCAGATGTCTCCCGCAGTCAGGAGCTGGGGTTGGAATTCATATCCGCAATCAGATTATTTTGTGCATTTCTGGTTAGAACTTCCCAGAGAAAACTCTTTTGGAAAATGGCCTCAATATTCATTTTTATCGTGGCATAACAACAATAAAAACAAGGAACAGGGAGTTTTGTTGCTTACTTTATTCAACAATCAATCTACTGCTGAAAGAAGACAGATCTGTGCAGCAGTGAACCGGTCTTAGGACTAAAGAATAGTAAATGGTTATCACCTAATTAACCGTCTCTCTGTAACCAGCTACTCCTGCTTATTTTCAGTCAGGGCTACTGGGAACACACACCCTAGCTTAAAGAGAGACCAACGAGACCACCTGTGCAAGGTTTACAGCACCAAGGGCACTGATGCTGCGGGACGGCGTGAAGCTTCTCATCAAACACACCAAAGGAGGACAGCTGTCAAACATGGCGTCTCGGAGGTAGAAACCTTGAACCCAGAAACAGCACACGGGGCCAGTGTTGCCTTGCAGGGGTAAAGCCGCCTCCTTTGATGCCAGCATCCCATGTGGGCACCGGTTCAAATCCTGGCTGCTCCACTTCCAATCCAGCTCCTTGCTAATAGCCTGGGAAAGCAGTAGATGGCCCAAGTGCTTGGGCCCCTGCACCTACATGGGAGACACAGATGAAGCGCCTGGCTTCAGCGTGGCCTCAGCTGTAGCAGCCAACTGGAGAGTGAGCGAGCAGACAGGTCTGTCTCTGTCTCGCCCTCTCCTTCCGTAACTCTCATCAGTGAATCTAAGGCAGGGAGTGAGACAGGAGCACATACACGGGTGCTGCCCCTGAACTCTGCACAAAATCCCCAGTGCTGCCCTGGTGTCCAGCTGTCTCAGAAAGCCCAACCCTGCTCTCAGTTCTTTCCCTGCCGCGTTGTTTTTCTCTGTGAAAGCCCACCCCCCACGTCCCCTCTGCAGTGACCTGGGAACAGCGAGTTTCGAATAAAGGTGTCTCTGACACAGAGAGGCAGCCCAGCACTCACGGACGCTGAAAGCAACTGGGTTTCCCTTTCTGAGGAGGAACCAGGGATTCCGGCAAATGGTGGCAATCCCTTCTCAAAAACACAGACTAGGAACAAAATTAATGGGCCCCTGCCACCCAACGGGGAAGACCCGGCTGGAGTTCCTGGCTCCTGACTTCAGCTTGGCCCAGCCTGGCCACTGCGGGCACATGGGGAATGAATCACTGGACAGATGAAGACAGCTCACTCACTCGCTTTCTCCCTTTCAAATAAACAAACAATAAATCTTTGAAAACAAAAACCTGATGCACCCCAGTGGAAAACATCTAAGATGTGATGTTCATTCATTTGACAAAATCCTGGCAAGCGTCTCATATGCAGCTGGGGCTTAATTATTGCGGCACTGGGCTATAAGCAGTGAGCACAGTGTCTGCAGTCACGGCCAGGACCACAGAGCCTACCTTGGTCACAAACCAGCAGGCAACACCCAGACCAGGGAGAGCGAGGGAACAGAGGGACAGGGTGTGTGCACTGTGTCACGTGGGAGATGGCTCTAGGAGACAACACCCCTGATGACATGATGGCTGAGTGAAGTGAGGGGCTGGCCACGTGGAGTGGGGTCAACAAGGCAGGGGGAGCATGTGTGAGGGTCCTGGGGCTCAGGCAAGGAGGCTGCAGGTATCTGTGGCACAGCACAATGGGGCTGAATCTGAGGAGCAGAAGAGGGAGGAAATGAGGTCGATGGGCTGGAGCTTTGCTTGCCACTCGGGATCTGGGCTGATGGAGACAGCGTGAAAAGCCATTCGGGATCTGGGCTGATGGAGACAGCGTGAAAAGCCATTCGGGATCTGGGCTGATGGAGACAGCATGAAAAGCCACTCGGGATCTGGGCTGATGGAGACAGCATGAAAAGCCACTCGGGATCTGGGCTGATGGAGACAGTGTGAAAAGCCACTCGGGATCTGGGCTGATGGAGACAGCGTGAAAAGCCATTCGGGATCTGGGCTGATGGAGACAGTGTGAAAAGCCACTCGGGATCTGGGGCTGATGGAGACAGCATGAAAAGCCACTCGGGATCTGGGCTGATGGAGACAGTGTGAAAAGCTGCTCAGGATCTGGGCTGATGGAGACAGCGTGAAAAGCCACTCAGGATCTGGGCTGATGGAGACAGTGTGAAAAGCCACTCGGGATCTGGGCTGATGGAGACAGCGTGAAAAGCCACTCGGGATCTGGGCTGATGGAGACAGCGTGAAAAGCCATTCGGGATCTGGGCTGATGGAGACAGTGTGAAAAGCCACTCGGGATCTGGGCTGATGGAGACAGTGTGAAAAGCTGCTCAGGATCTGGGCTGATGGAGACAGCGTGAAAAGCCACTCGGGATCTGGGCTGATGGAGGCAGTGTGAAAAGCCACTCGGGATCTGGGCTGATGGAGACAGTGTGAAAAGCCACTCGGGATCTGGGCTGATGGAGACAGTG